ACTTTTCGATTACTCATGTCTGGAAAAGGCAGAAGAGATGCGCCAAGGGATGGAAAAAATATGTTCTTCACTTCCGATGGTGCGGCGGAAATTGAAGAAGTTATGCACGGGAGAGACGGGTCCACAAATTATTTATTACTCTATCGTTTCGCGCGAACTCCCGCGAATCGCGACGCGATGCGACGCGACGGAGCGAAGTGAGACGAGGCGAGACGAGACGTCCTTCTTGTGTAATTTTTCATGGCGCGATCGATGATAACACGATCCGCGGTTCCGGCAGACGATGTCACAGGAATTTTTCCTCCGTGAGGAAATTCCATCGCGCCGCATTTCATGCGCGAACTTCGGAATTCCGCAATAATGAAAAAGCGAGACACTAAATTTAAGACGTCGTTTGAATGTAATTATTATGGATTGAGATCAGATATTTTTATTTAGAAAGAAACTAAGAAACTAATGTCTCACGTGTATATTTATTTTTTAAACGATGTGATAGTAACTTGTATTACTCTGCAAAAATTCTCCGTTATCATTGTAAGAGTCTGAGACAGAGTATGCCATCGTCATTCTTGAGCTGCCAATTTTCTCGAAATGAAGTACCTATATATTTCTTTACATCTTATCGCGGTATCTTATACGGCTCGATATTTCAGTTGCGAGACACGAAAGGCATTTAAGTACAAACGCATGCGTACTTTCTTTCAATTTTTCATCAAAACGCCGAACTTGGAAGCAATACCAGCTCGTCTGGGGTTCAAAGCCCTTGTCGTCGCCAGTAAAGCCCTTTCTCGCGCAAGAATTCGAATCCTTCGTCAGAGACGGCCCTCTTACCTTTGAGTAACCGCATACCGTCCGCAAGCAGTTGCACAATGAAAAGAACTTGCAAGACACACGGCTGTAAAGCTATCTCAAAGTACAAATGAATTATAATCGTGAAAATATTGTCGCGTAAAATTAATGGTGAAATATATAAGTATACTACTTTCTAATTTCATTTCAACCAATTTTATTTTTGCTTTGGTAAAAATAATAAATTAATCTTATTAAAGACATTATTATCATGTACGTATGTCTAATCGAATTTCTGAATATGTAATAACGCTGATGTAATTTAAAGCGGAAATTTATCGAATTGATTATTCACGGTTGAATCGTTGTTTTAACACGTTTCTTTTATTTTTGTTAATATACTTTTTGCTTAAAGCTAACGATTCACAAATTTAAATCTCATTAATTCAAGCACGTATCAAAACTGATAATTTGATAAATTAGTATTAATTCGAGAAGTTCTTAATCAGATGCATTAATTTATATATGTATTCTACAATTCAACTTTCTGTCTGTAAAAGTTTAAGATGTATATTCATCGTATACATAATATACTTGGGTTTTTTTACTCAATTTATCACCTTTCTCTTTTCCTCTCGACCGAGTTATTTTTGCGCATTCGCCTTTCTGAAGTTAACGCGAGTCGACGTAGCGCTCCTGTTCCTATTCTCTCTCCCTTCGCATATCTTGACGTCCGCAAAAGCGACGTGACGCGGGGCCCAGGTGAGAACATCAGCCGGGGAAAAAGAAACAGGCGGAGGATAAGGGATAAGGATGAAGGGTGTCCGGTACCGGGTAGGCGACATAACACGCGTGACTCGCCGGGAATCACGCAGCACGCGCAGGTACGTGGCTCGCGGCTAAATGAAATTTTAATAAAGCCGCGCGCCGGAGAGCCGCGCAGGGTGGAGAGGGAACGATCCTCACAATGGAACAATGGCTACGAAATCGTCCGAAGGCGTCGGCGCGCTTCTTCCGAAGGAGCAGCCGCGCCGCGATAATTATATCGAGGCGGCGCGACGGAATCTCGCCAGAAAAACTTGTCTTCGGCCCTTAAGGGGCTGAGGAGTCCCCAAGAACGCCGCTCGCAGTCGCCTAACTAAAGGCGAATTTACACGGTTCGCTCCCGATGATTACCCCGGATGAATCATCCAAAATAAATTGGATGAACGCGTTTTTGTTCGGATGTATCGCGCTAAAAGTGGGCTACCCGATTCGCGGCCGATCCGACGCGGGCGTTCGTCCGTCGCTTCCTTTAAAAACTTCCAAACGTGAGAAAGAATGGGGACGACGTCGCGGGACTCCTCCCGTACGCAATCTCTACAATAACTCAATTACATATCATCCTTAAAGAGTAAACATACTACGCGTATATATGTACGTACAGACGCGTCAAGTTTGTTGCTCACCTCTCAACTATAAACTCTCAGTTCACGACTGTAAGCTGTCGGTTCCCTAAACTCTCAGCTCCGAGTTCTCAACTCCCAACTTTCGACTTTCATCTCGCGTTAAATAATCCAAAATTCCTCACTTCGAACACGCGGAACTCGATTTGTATTATTATCGCACGTGATCAGTCCAATAAAGAGGCTTAATCCTACACATCGTACGCGAAACACGGATTGTATTAATTGCCTCTGCAAATCAAGTTAAACAAAAAGTGGAATAAAATCCCACAGTTTGCTTTATTTTGCATTACTTTGAATGATCGTCCAAACTGGCCAAAAACGGCACACGTTTCATTCAACAGTTTTTTGTTTAACAATAAGTAATGGTTACGCGATTAATTCTGCTTTTACTGTTCGAATGATTTCGATCAATATCGTGAAGAATCTATGTATAAATTCACCTTAACTTTTGCCTTCGTTCTCGCCCTTTGTCTCCCTTGCGACAGGAGCGCGCGCAGTCGTCTCGGTTCGACGATCGTCGTTCGCGAACGAGAAACTCGATCGGCGAGGGAAAAGGGCGAAGCAGGCGCGACGCCGCTAGTTTTTGTCGGCAACGGCCGTTTCTTTGTAAGACGATAGAATGGCATTCTAATATCGACATCGTGCAAGAAATTGGTGCTCGCGCGTAATAAAAAGACCGATGGTATTCGGAACAAAAGCGACCGAGCGTTAGATAATTAGCAAAAATTTAAAGTCACCGTTACGATTATTCAGCATTTTCTGGTCATTCAGAAGTTATTTTTCTATATCAAAAGCATGGAAATAAAACGCCTGAGGCATCTAAGCCGAATTCAAATAAAAATCAAAATAAAGATTGCAAATTCACAAGTTATAAAACGAGTTATAAACGTTTTTCGTTATAAAATAAAACAAAGTATGTACAAGAAGATATATATTAATTTATATTAGAAAAATTGAAAACATGATAAAAATATTTAATTGAATATTGAATCCCTTTCGCGAGTATTCATTATTTCATCGATCGTTATCACGATCCCCGTCTGCTTTTTAAGTAAGGTAAAATATTAATTTTACTAGACCCGTAGTCGATATTACGTGACTTATCCGTTCAATCTCATTATCCGGATTTATGGTACAATGGAAGCGTACAAGTTCTTCATCGTATCTCCCTTGCCTTGCGCTTTTTAAAAGTCTTTCTAGGATCTCTAGTCGAGCATGTCTTAAACATAATACGCAGCCTCGTAAAATAGCAGCGTATAATAAGCTGGTGAAAATTTTCATAGTACACGCTGTGTCGATAGTGCTGCCTTCCGGCTGGTGCTTTTTCCTAACAGCGTTTCGTTGTGCTGAGTTCTGCGCGTTGATGTATCTGCATAAACTTTCGCGGTACACGTAAAAGGCTTCACATTACGTGCGAATTTTATCCGGCCAGAAAGATTTTCAATCAATGTAATAAATTAAGACAATGACTAAATTGAATCAGTCAGTCAAAAGGAATAAAAGTCGGAGTTCAAATTAAATGTTCACAATATAAATTAGAAAAAATAGGCAGGGAGCAGCGAATATTTCAGGTCGTTATTGCGGTCATTCAGCTTGCAAGAAAGACATGAATCGTTGGTACTATATAATTCTAATGGAATTAATTTGACATATAAATTATCACGAAGAACTTAGTGACTCTACTGTCAAGTTAGCACTGTCAGGCTGGACCTACATTGCTAGTCGTGGCCGGTGAAAAGCGGAATAAATTAGCATAGAGGGGGGGAAAAACGCGTATGGCCGCGCGTCGCCGGCGGGCCAAGTAATAAATTCGTATTTCACGCGAGAGCGTTGCCGGTTCTTGACTGGCTAACTGTAAATGCGAGTGGTCACGCATGGGAAAGCGTTCGCCAGTCCCACGATCGTCGTCGTTACGAGGATCGATTATTATTACAAGAAACGTGTATCCAATTTCGCGTCATTTGCTCGCGAAAAATTGTACGAGGTGGCCGTAAAGACACGCGCGCGCGGATATTATCGGGCAAATTATGGTACAGGGTCTATTCATTTACGTACGAAGTCGATGACCAATCAGTCGTTAACTGCTAACGGTAACGAGCCGGCAACGCGGATAAATTTGAAACGAGTAGGACAGGCTAACTACGCCGGTGATGACGCGCGTCTCTGCACATTGGTCGATGCTTGTCGATGAGCGCCCGGCTCGTTAGAGAAAAAGCTGCCGAGCTGCCTTCCTCCATTCGCGCGCACATCTAGAATTGAAGGATGACCCGCCGCTGCAAGTGTCGATGTGCCGCGCGTTCACGTCATGATTCGTTAAGTAACGGTTTAATATCCCATATGCAACGCGTCACTTGATATTAGAATATTCGATGAATATTCGTCGAATAAATGTGAAGCAATATTAATCCATTCGTTATGAAGTTCCAATATTGAAACATTCGATATTGTCGATATTACTTTCTCGGAGTAAAAAACTCGAGAATTATTGGCAGCGTATTTTTATATTTCCTCCACATATTGCTCATGTGGAAAACGTTAAAAAATTTATTACGCAACGATAAAAAGTTGAGGATGTATATTTTTTTCTTTCGATCTTGAAGAATTTTTGCTATTTCTCGACACACATACCCTTATTTCATCGCGACGGTCGATCTCGAACTTTTTGGAAAAAGAAAGGAGTGTGCGGAGCGCCTCGACGAGATGCTTTATACTTTATGGTCCCGTTGGCGCGGATCTTAACATTAAGTCGTCGCTTGTTTCCAGGACCGGCACGTGAAGGACGCCAGCAGAGATCCGCAGATGGATTCGAGCCAGGACTACCGGTTGTTACTGGGTTACGAGAACAAGACGCACACAGTGCTGCGCTTCAGTAGACGATACGACACATGCGACCCGCGGGACCTGAAGATCACGGTAGGTGATGCGATTTATGCAGCTCGAAAGGAGGAGCGCAGGACAATTTCCTGGTGGAGTACACACAAAAGCGCGCGAGATTTACTTGGCGCGCTTATCTCACACTATTTTTGCCGAGATAAATGCATTTGTATCCATGGAGAAGGATTAATATGAGATTCACTTATAGGTGGGATATAGCTTAACAAAATTTACCTGTAGATCTTGTAGCAGTTATTTTATTAACGCTAATGGGCTTTATTAACGTTAATAAATACGAACGTTTATGTCTAGCTGGTAAAAGCAAACAGAATTTTGTTTACGTATTTATAAAAGTAGATTTCCCACTCCTGCTCTTATTATATTTCTATATTAATATTTTTATACGTTAAAACAGAAAATTTTTTCATCACCTTAATTAATACAAACACGTCCATTAATACAGATGTAATTTTCTGCTCATAAACACATTTGGAATTAGTTGAAAAGAATTATGCCCGCCAGTTTCAAAGTACGCATATAAAAATGTTAAATGCAAAAGTATAGTTAATTACTGCATTAAATTATTACATCCACGGTCGTAAAAATTAAATTCGGCGGCTCGTTATCGCAATTTTCCTGCGCGATATTCCGTATACATTGTAGGACAACGACCTACTTCTTTATTTCGCCGGTAATTAACTTGGAAATAGATTGCGCGATAGAGCGCCATCCTCGCTGCTCGAAGGTGCTCGGTACGGGCTTAACCCGAAGAAAAAGAGATTATGCCAGTGTTGCGATCTGTTCTAAGCCGCGCAACGTGAAATGTATGGCGATCGACGAGGCCGCAAAGACCTAAACTCTAAACTATCTTTCCGTTGTAGCAGCTGCATTCACTAATAATAGCACCGTCGATATACGCAGTCATATTCTTCAGTAAATCGCGACTGATAAAATAAAGCTACGCTCGCTTTTGAAAAATTGGTTAGACAAACTAGCCGGTGCCAAACTTACTTTACTATGGTATTTCTCGCTTTTTCTGCTTTTTTAAACCGAGCGCATCTTGTAAGATACATTTCTAGGGGAGGATAAGAAAAAGCAATAAAATAGTATTTGCGACCTGTTCACTCGACACGGCTAAAGATAGAAATGCGCAGTTTCATGCAAAAAATCGTACACCTTTAATTCTTGAGCCTGTAATCGCGTGTCTTTAACTATTAAGTGAAGCAGCAGATCTCTGAGAAGGAAATTTTATTGCTTTGCTTTGCACAATTCTATTGTTTAAAGTCTTACCGCTTTTGAGTTTCGCATGAAATTCATTCTACTATGAAATCTCTTTGTACGCCCGATGCTTACAGAAAAGTAAGCAACAAAAATATTGATTCTATGTAACAGGTATAGCGTTTGTTTTCAACATAAAGAAAATACACACGGTAACTTTTAACGTTGCGGAAAGTATACTTTGGCACTGCTGCATTAGAAAATACTAATATTTCTCATTCTTAAATTTCCCTGAATTGTTAAAAAAAAATAACAAATTTAAAAATAACAAAAAATCCAGTTTTCAACCTTTCGCAAAGATAAATATAGATGAAGTGAATAAAACGTAGGATTTACCAAAGCTTTGTGGGCATATCCTGTATACAGTTATTTAGGAGGTAAATACGTTATTCTCTTTTCGTTTGATCAGCGTTTTCCCCGGCTGCTTATTAGTCCCTATTATCGTCACTTCGTTATCACTCCTACGAAATCTCGCGCGATGTGTTATCGACCAACAGCGCTTAACACACAATTGTCGGGGCTCGATTTTCCACCTGATCGTATTATTATCGCGCATCAATTTCGGGCGAGCTTGCTGCGATGCGATCTCATCGTTCTACCCGCGCGTGCATAATTCGTTGCAGCCGCATCGCTATCGAGGTTGCCGCTCGATGCCACGTGGATAAACGCCGTACGTGTTCGTAAATATTCGCTCGCGGTAAATCGAATTCCCCCGCGTTACGTAACGTCGAATTAAACGATATTTTCGCTTAACGGATTTTCAGTTAATACCGAAGCATCGCCTCTCTTTCAATATATCAATTACGAGATCATTTTTCTTACTTTACGCGTATCATTTACTTTCATATTATGAATCAAAGAATAAAAAACATAGTATAATATTAACCTAAATCGTTTTAACGTCACACCTAGATTATTAACGTTTTATTATTTTTACTTTAAAAAGATTTGACATAAAATCCCACAATGTCTTAAACTATAATGATAAAAATATCTTAATTTCAGAGAACAGACTACCATTTATCAAAGATTTGATGAAATAATTATTTAGAATTTTAGAGTAATGGATACGAAAGCTTTATTTTTATGAATACTATTTGTGAATATTATTTAAAAAATAATATGTTGCTACAAAATCAAATTCTATATACATTTATTATTTATTATTAAACTATTTTAAAGCATAAGCAAGAGTGGGAATTGCTCTTTGAATCATAAGAAGCGATTCGAGATAATTACAATCTTGAAGCAAACGGGGTCATTGGCTGATCGCGTTGTCCAAATCGCCAATCTGTGCCAAAACGATCTACTTGTTTCATCCCGGGAACGCTCGAGGAATTTCTCGTCGCGATCATCTTAAGTATCGTTTCTCTCTCCGACGAGAGAGAACGGATGAAGACGATGGCGACGACGACGACGACGATCTCGTCCCCCCCGACGAGAATGTCCGTCTGGCGGTTGAGTCATCGAAATACTTGGCTGTGAAAATAAAAGCGGACCGCGATTCCATCGCGACGAGAAACGACCGAGTCAGCGAGACCCCTCTCGGGGCCCTTATCTGATTGTGCGACGTATCGATACCCGATATAATATTTTTGCGAGGCGTCGCGCGTCTATCCTCGGTCGAGAGATACCAATCGTGGGTGCAGCAGGCAAAATTGGCTGCGAAGGGATACAACAAGATGCAGTCCGGAACCCTTGAGAGGCGGCAGAATGAGTTCAGATTTGATGTAAAAGATGTGAGAGATGATACGAATCATTTGTAGACTCTGTACATATTACTTTCAGGATGTTGATAGATACAGATTCGAATACATTGAAGACATCTTGTTAAAACCCAATGCCGCAGTTTGTAATCGCGTTCATCAAACAGCGAGTAATGTTTTAAAACCAGACTCACGCTCTCAATATAATGTCCGTTAGATTGGATTGCGCTACGCGGGACGAAATTACGTGGAAAATATGCAAGCTCGCGCATATCCTCGTGTTTGAACCCCTTCGCTTGGAATACCATATTTTTCCGCGCCGATATTTCCCCGCGATCTTCATCGACGTAACGGAATACGAAGATGGATGCTTATACTTTTTTTTTGACGAGATATACACACACGGCGACATGTTTGTTCCAGAAATACGTTCGCGAAACGTAGTGTCGTGCCGATGTTATCAAGAATCCCGTACCGTTTGCGTCATCGATAGAAATCAAATATTGAGATCGCCTCAGGGAGTTATTACTTCTCGAGTTTCGCTCTCTACGCTCATACTTTATCGCGGTGCTTATCTCGAGTTTCTCGTCTCGAATTTAGGAGCCGGAGAGATTTCCACGATCGTACGTAGATCGGAAATTTTTCCGGACCTCCAATTGCGCTGCCAAGTACACGAATGGTGAAGTTTCCACGTCGTTCATTCGCTGAACATATTGCTTTTAAACGTGATCATAGCGCCTAGGGGTGGAAATTAGTTTGTAGAATGTGCAGCTTTAATGTGTCCTCGCTGAAATGAGTAAATATATATAATATGTGAATATTTACTCATATTATTTAGTATTAGCGTGTAAACTCTTTTGTTAGCTATTTAAATATATACCTTTAGAAATTAAACCATTAAATAAAGAGCGTATAACGTCATGATTTGTGTCGTTTCGTGGAATTTATCGATTTCTCGTGCAATCTTTGTACTTATCGCATTGCTGATTTTTATGAAGCTATATATATAACCCCGCGCATCAGTGTAATTTCGCCTTCAGTACCGTGACAGTATTTTAAAACAGCGCAATGGCGTTTCTACGAGCTGCGGAAGGCACCGCATGACACTACGTAGGAAATAAGAACAATGCCATTGTGCAACTGCGAAGTTGGAATAGCCTCATAAAGGGTTAACTCACCCTCACGCTCGTAACCCAATTTCGCGCACCTTTCCATCAGCGCAGACATAGCCGCGCAACTCGCAACTCAAAGTTCCCAGACAGCACGAAGCTCTCGATCAATTTTTCTAATTCATCTCGCAATATTCCCTCGTTTTCCCGCCAGATTCCCCACACACAGTAGAAAATCATACACGGTGAAAATCGTGGAAAAAATCTATTGTTCGGAGGGGAAAAAATGTATCTAGAGACGAATCTATTCTCTGACGAAATCGCGGTAGAAAAAATATTTAAATTTGCTTGACAGTATTCGTACAGTATTCTGTGCAGAACCGAGCGTTTTATTCTAATCCGCGCAAACGGACTGCCTCTACGGTATATTTCGTTTCTTTCGCGACATTAGCTTTATGTTTAACACGGTTGTTTTAGAAGCGTGGCCGCAGCTGAGATTGCTGAGAACAAATTAATTAGCGATATCGGCGGAATGCCCGTGCCGGAAACAATAGCGGAGTTGGTTGCCGGCAAGTTACAATAGACCGATATGTGTTAAGCTGCACCCGCTCGTGACCTCGGCATCGGCCACTTCGGCATACTGACGCAAATGCGATGCTACCCGTAGTATCGTACAGCGATACACCGGTGTATCAGCTTTTTAGCATGCCACTGTACGAGGTGCTCGAGGTGCTCCGTAACCTTCGTGTCAAACTTCGAGGGAAATTGTCTTCTGCTCGATTTGCGAGATATTTTCCCAACGAAAATTTGCTCGCGTGCAATTTTCGAAGTTTCGAAATTAAATATTTTGGCGACGTAAATGTCAATTTAAAATTACGTTAACGTTAAAGTTTAGGTGAAATTATCTGAGAAGTAAGTTCTGAATTATTGCCATATCAATTTATGG